TTAATACAGTTCAATGTGGATTCTCTTATCTTTTTGATACTTTTAGTGTTTTTCACCAAAGGTTGATCGTTTAGTTTCGATTGGTTCATTGCATGATGGAAATATTTATGTATGGAATTGGCGAAATAAGAAAAAGCTTACTTCAAATAGATGTCTGGGTTCTGTAAGAAAATAATGTTGCGAATTTTTCCAGTATTTAAAAAAAAAAACTTTATTGAATTCTTATTTAGATTCATCGTGTTGCTTTTGCAGAAGACGGAAGCTATTTTGTTACAGTTGGTATTCGTCATGTTAAATTTTGGTATTCTGTTGCAAAATCAACGGTATGATAGTTTCCTTTTCATAGTTTCACGCAGGAAAAAAAATGAATTTACCGGGTTTCATAGTATACTTGTTCAAATTACAATGAAGTTCAGGAATTCTAGACTGTTACATTTTATAATTTTCTAAAACTGTATCTTTCGAAATTAATTTTCAATCTTCGAGAATTTGATACAAAATGAGCGAAGGTTCGGGTACGAATTTCGGTGCATGGGTTCTTGGCAACATTCTTCAGTTAAAAGAAAATGTGTCAATGGCTAAGTTTCATTAATTCGTAGCCAATATAATCAGTTTTTTTATACTAATAACATGCGAAGCATAAGTCTCGTAAAATTATTGTTCTACACATGAACATTATAGTTATGCTTCCCAGTCACTAGTATGATATAGACATCACTCTCGTTTAATGAAAGATACAATGGTGCAAGGTCTGACTCGAAAACTTCTTCATAGCTGAGTTCAGTGCATGCCACAGTAGATATATTTATATTATGAAATATTTGATCTCAAACTGAATTGCAGACAAAAGAATAGGAACTCAAAGTCAAACGGACAGTAGAGATTTACTAAACTCATCAATTGAATCTATATCTACATACATCTAAACTTTCACGAATCAATAAATTTTTTGATCACATTTGTGAAAGTATTGGTATCTATTGTCTTTTTCGGTGAATAGAGACGCTAGTGAAACCAGCGATTTCATTATGTTTTCGAATATGCGGATGTGTATGCATATGGCTATCATTTAGGTACGAGAAATATCTACATCTAAATCCACACTGATCTTCAAACCCGAGCCCTAAAAAAGTCTTCTCGAGTTTCAATGTCTACTTCAGAAAAATTCATACTATTGAATCAATACGATGTAATTTTGCTTTATATCTTCCTTTGTCGAGAAAAATAGAAGTTTATAAAATTGAGTATTCATAGACACTATAAATAGAATAATATTTTGATTTTTCTTTTGCTTTTTTTTAAATAATAGTCTGGCGTTGTACCATTACGTGGACATGATGTGATCTTAGGTGACAGTAGAAATAATCGTTTTATTGATGTCGTTTGTGGACGCAAGAACTGTACTGGTTTGACATACGTCTTAACTGCAAATGGTCTTATTTGTCAATTTGATGAAAATCGAAAATTACGTGCTGACAAGAAACTTCAAGTAAAAAAATGATTTTCGTCTGATCGAAATAAAAATGAAAGTGTGTTATTCCTTAGGAAAAAACGAATTGTTTAGCTATTGGTGACTCGTATCTTGTTGTTGGATGTGATAAAGGTGTTGTTTACGTATTGTCATCCGAAATTCTTGAAAATATTATGTCAGTACCGTTACCACATTGTTTGGGTATTGATATTAATTTTATTGCATCAACTGAGTAAAGATATTCGACTTTTGTCTTTTGATTAATAATATTCTGTATTTTAGTCAGATGACATATCCACAAAAACAAAATATTTCTTTTCCGAATACAATAGCTGTTTGTTTAGATGAAAATAAATCACTGGTAAGTCACTTAATTTTTTACACTTTTTTTCAAAAAAAATTTTCCTACTTTAGTTAACATGCTTTTATAATGATCATAGTTTTTATATTTGGAATATAAGAAATGGACAAGAAATAGAAAAACGTGATTGTTATATGTATCATTCGGAATGTGTTTGGGGAATCGAAGTAAAAAATTTCTTATATTTGTAGTGATGTTTTATGTTATTTCAATTATTCTAGACATATTCTATCAGAAGCACATCATCTGCTACTTTTAATCGGTTAAGTTTTATAACATGTTCAGCTGATAATACTGTACGTTTTTGGTCATTAGATCATAATGAAACTCGTTCAAATTTTGCTTCGTCACCAGTTGAAAATGTATTAAATAGACATTTGATGAAAATTATCTATTTAGATGAAGATTATTCAAAACTATGTGATAATCCAACAACACAAGGTAGGATAACTTGATTTATTGGATTATTACAATTATATTTGTCTAAGCCACGGGCACTGTTGGTTGAGTTTTCTTTAATTTGAGCCATTCGATGGATTACATAGTCTTCTTTTTTCGATTTACGGGCTACGCTACACATTCACCATTCTTTGACCTGTACGGCCTGCCGATGGGTCGATAGAAATTTAATTAAGTTAATATTTTGAAAAAGAAATCATTCATTCGTTAGATTATCTTCTTACAGCCAATATTTAGATCATTAAAATGTTGATGACTCATTCGTGAACTCATGCAGTTATAATAAAATTGAAAAGTCATCAAGAGAAACAAAATAGGAACACTACCCTTACTAAGATTTTTCTAGAATCAATAATTTACAGAAGTTGAGTTTGAACGTCACGGCTTGCTTGAACAATGTTGTTATGATATCTTAATTATGAAATGTAATAAAAACTTGGATACATACTAGAAGGTGAACGATTTTACCATTCTCTAATACTAGAGAAAAAATGAATCTAGTGGGAAAATGTGCGGAAAGAAAAGAGTCGACACTAGCGAATGTTAGAAACGCATCCAGAAATCGATGAAGAATAAAACTTTCGATCTGAAGACCGATATTCAGGACGCGTTTGAAATCTTGTTTTTGATTTATCTTCGCTTGGCAAAAGTGGAGGAAAAGTTCGTGACGGGTAGCACCTACGAGATAGTCTCATAATAAGGGATCCATCATTGCTCTATATTTCTAAAACAAAATACCCTTTTATGCATATGCTTCTTTCAAAACGACTGGACGGACGAATACGATAAATAAAGCGCAGAAAAAAAGACAAAAACAATTTCTCTGTTAAAGAAAGACATGATAACTGTAACTACATCGTCACCGGAGAAATGAAAAAAAATGAAATGAATGGTGAAGGTATATCGATATAAAGAGAAACGAAAGAGAAATTTATTGTCAGATTGCACTTATAGTGACTGTCAATACCTGTGGTCTAATTTATTTACCTATTTTCTGAATATGCCATGCCTTTAGAACATTTGTATTCCGAAAAGACCTTCATAGTACTTTCAGTTTTGTTCGCTTCTAAATGTTTTAGTTTCAATTTCATATAAATTTAGAAAAACAATTCAATTTCATCTATACATCTAATTACTTTTATTTTCAATGTGAAAGACTATCTGACAATAATCGTGTACCAACTTGTTTTTAAAGCTATTTTAGTTACCGACTTTGTCAGTCGTGTTGTTCGTATAAAATCTGTTTTTGTAAAGAAGGGAACATTTTTGTCGAATGAAGTTCTCTCAAATGCAAATGGAATCGTAATTTGTAGGGTACGTTCGATTAGAAAATAGCTTGAGCGAAAATTAAATTTTTTGAAATTCGAATCGTCGTCAACATTAGATAAACATGCTCTTTGAACGTCTTTTAATAGACACTTATGATAGTACAATCATTTTGCATACGTATTTACTGCAGAAAAACTACAGAAGACTTCATACTTGATATGCTAATCTTTTCAACCTATTTCAATTTTCATCTTTACTTAATGTTATTTCTTTTACTCACTTTTGTTTTTATAGAGAAACCTGAATCTACCACGAAACTCGGGGGTCGTTGTATGAAAATGGCGCCTGATGGCTTGTCATTAACTATTGGTGATCTTAATGGAAATATTCGTATATTTGACATGAAAACATTCAAACAGATAGCATTTATTGTAGCACATGATAATGAAGTACTTAGTATTGATTATGGTCAATCAACCGATATGAGTTAGTATATATTAATTAGATAAAAATCTAATTTGCTCGATTTTCATTTCAAAAACATAGATGTGATCTTTCTGGCGTCAAGTAGTCGTGATCGTTTTGTTCATATATTTGATGTATCAAAAGATTATCAATTAATTACAACATTAGATGATCATTCAGGAGCTGTAACAGCTATTCGTTTTACAGATTTATCCATAACTTCCGATCTACAATTGATCTCCTGTGGTGCTGATAAATCATTGATATTTCGATCAATTTCGAAAGTAAATTTCTTGTCTTTTGATGTCTGATGTTTGGTGTATTAGAAATACGTCGAGTTCTTTTTTTGAATCAGCAAAATTTCAGTGGAAATATAATGCACTATGAGTGATTTCATTGACAGAAGTAACTGTATCTGAATGAGAAATTCATATGCAATCCATGTCGAACTAAGATTTATTTCTCGAAACTAGAATAAACACAGAAGTTTCCTTCATCTGGTTCAAGTTAGTTCTGACTTATGCACAGTTATGAACACAGATAATATACGAATGCAGAGAGAATTGAGCTGTGATCTAGTCATATTGATTCAAATCGAAAATGACTTGACTTACCAGTTATGATCTGCGTCACTACTACGAGCTCATGTTATTTTTCTTATGCATATGCGTCATATTCTCTTCTTTTTTTCTTCATTCTTTCCTTTAAATAAATTGCTCTTTTTGTGAATGGTGCTTGTAGTAGTTGCAAAAAAATACTGTTCTTCGTATGTACGATGCTTAACATATCTTTCATCGAAACATCAAGAACAAGAAGAAAAAGCTATTGAAGTTAGACTGTGATCTTAACAATAGTTCATCTATGTGATTTTGTGTGATCCATTCTTCTATCTGATCAAGAACGGAAATGAGATCGAAAATCATTGATCCCATTTAGTCAACTTACTAACTAGGTTTCGTCAATTAAATAGGATTAAAATTCATGAAGATTTTCTTTTCAGAAATCTTAGATTTCGGTTAGAGCTGAATTCTAATTTGTTATGATTATTTCCAGTTAGTCCAGCTTTTGTAACTATGCTTTGTTCACACAACTTTAATTTATTTTACAATTAAAAAACACAAAAACGTTACAATATTATTATTTTAGTATAAAAGTCTAAGACTCCAAACATCATATTAATTCTCTTTTACCTAATTTACAATCATTCTACAAGATTTAACGAATGAAATATTGCTGAATTCAGAAGTTAACTTTGTCTCCTTTTGAAATATGAATATCAACAAATTAGATACTTGAATTTTCATTTTTCCATCTTTCACACTCTGAGGAAAGTTTTGTTATACATCAAAATAAATCTATTGTGAATACATTTATGAACTCGTTTGAGTACAAGCAAAAATCTAGTGCAATTTCATAATGTTTAGTATCTATTGTACGAAATGGCAAAAGCAGATAGTTTTCTAAGATGATCGAAAACCATGTACTGACAGTTCAACATAAAGCACATCAACTGAATTCTTAATCGTATGCTTAGAAAAGGTACAAAATTACGATTCAAACTCATAACTTTGATATTATTACTACAATACCTTTTTCAGCATTTTTATTGTTTATAGACATTTTTAAAATAATCGGATTAATAGTTATTTAAAAAATGATTTCTGTTTTCCTTTCCTAGAATGAAAACGGAAAATATCAATTTCTTCGTTCACATCATGTTTTTGAAAATCAAACATTTTATGACTTAACAGTTGACCGTTCACATGAACTTGTTCATACAGTTTGTCAAGATCGAATGATAAGGTTATTATTGTACTACTTTTTGTAGAAGTTGCAGATATTATTTTGTTTTATTGTTAATATTTAGAACTTATTATACTAAAGATGCTAAACGAGCTCGAGCTTGTAGAGATACAACCAGTGATAGTACCAGCTATTTAATCAAAATTGATATTGATCCATCAGGAAAATGTTTAGCAACATCATGTTCAAATAGATGTGTTTATCTTTGGGATGCAACAACAGCCGAATGCATTGCATCATTATATGGTCATGGTGAAATTGTCACAGATTTAAAATTTAGTGATGATGGACATCATCTCTATACGGTTGCAGGTGATAGGTAGGTAACATTGATTTTGAATGTTTATGTTTGTTTCTTATTTTAATCGAAATTTTAGTTGTATTTTTGTGTGGAATATTGGAGAATTACTTGTTGCATCGTCAAGTTATCGATCAATATCAGCTCCACCATTGAAAACAAATGATTGTATTGTGTAAGTTTTTCAGTCTAGAAAGCGCCTTAGTTTTCCCCATTTTTATTTATTTTGTTTAGAGTTGAAAGGGTTGAAACAATTTCACAGGTTGAAATTGAATGAATTACTTTATTTAAAAGTAAATTTTAGTTTGATTAGACATCGAACCTAACTGAAGCACGCCACCCGCAAACAAATAGTCAGCGAAGTTTTCGAAAAAGTTCTCAACCTGGTTCAATAGTATGTATTAATTGAAAGAAGTTTTTTTCGAGTAAAACTAATTTGTTATTTTAGTCAAATGAATCTGAATTCTCTGATTCACAATTACGGAGCTTTTTAGATAAAGAGTAATTATGTCACTTTCATTTATTCTTCATGAATGAGAAAATGATTATTTAGAGTAATCGATAAAACAATTTCTCCACAACATAATGATTCAGTTTTTATTGAAGAAGGTTCTTCGCTTTACCATTTGATTAAAGTAAAAAGATTTGTTTTATTTAGATAACGATGATGAAACTGCAGATAATGTAGTTAACTCAACTGTAGAAATGAATTCATTTTTTAATGAAAATTATAATCATGAATATTCAACAATTAATACAGCTGATGCCAGTGAAACTTCCAAACGTCTATTCCAAAGACAAGACAGTATTTCATCTCGTTTTTCTTCCCTATCAATACAAATGACGTAAGGAGTGAAATAGAGGAAAAAAGAAATCATCTGATTTTTTTTCAAAGAACACCTGATAAACTATCAACACTAGTAGACACAACCCAAGAACAAGTGCCTATATTTTCCAAAACAAGCAAAAATAAATCGTCAACAAGTACAAATACTTTTAGTAAGTATCTAATCGTTGCTAAGTTGAAATTGCAGAGATATTCGTCCCTAGAAATGCAGCTAAGTTATTCTAGATCAATAGAAAAAAAGTACTTAGAAGAAGTTCTCAATAATTATTCATTTCCAGAATCGCTCTCCTGGGGATAACATACCACATTATAGCACATAGTTATCTTCTTCTATTTTAGAATTATTGAATATGTCCTCGAACAACTTTGCTTCACCATTGTATCTAATATTCCTTAGTAAAACTAAAGACGCCTTGATGATTGAAAAAACCTGAGACAAACTGATATACAAAACAATGAGAAAATTTTTCTCAAGATACATGAAATACATAAGCATACTACCGAGACCCCGTACATACTGCACGGCTGTTTTTTTTCTGTAAAGTTCCACATCTCTGCTTTAACCGTGACACGATAACAGACAATCAGACATTTCACATTATATAAATAGATAAACCTTATAGATAAAGTAAATGGATAATTATGTAATATAAATAAAATAGTATATTAAAATTAAAAACAGCTAAAATCTTTTTTATTTTCAATAACATGTGATATTTCTGTATCTATTCACACATTTATATCAGATTTATTATAATTTAATATACTGTGTGTAAGATGGATGTGTTCATTATAAGTTGATTCATTTATTCTTTTGTTTAATGAGTTCATTTATTTATTTTACAATGTGCGAATACATTATCTTACACACACTATATTAGGTCATAATAGATCTGATATAGATATGTGAATAGTTCATGTTGGTGGTCTTTTTGTCTGATGATGGTATCTGTGAATAGATACCGAAATTTCACATATTATTAAAAATAAAAATTTTTTAACTATTTTTAATTTTAATGTATTATTTTATTTATATTACACCTTATAGTCTTAACCACTATTAGTCTTACTCCCTTATAGCTCCACCACTTATTCCTTATCCTCTATAGCCTTACATCTTATAGGCTTACCATTATTGTCTTATCCCCTTGAGGATCTATGGGTATCCCTATGGGATAGCCCTTGAGACCTTCCTCTTATAGCCTTATGATCTTTGACCTTTGCTCCAGCACAGACACACTGAACAATATATATAGATTGATGAGTAATGCCTAACAGGTACATCGAAAGTTTTCCAACAGATGCTTTTGCAAGATCTGTCTCACTTCTCTTTATTCCTTACGCATACCCTTCTGTTTTCTACCTTTCTTTATAACCAAGAGAATAGTATATATATATATATATATGTGATGTTGAAACAGCTGGGAAAATCCATCGAAACGCAAGAAAAAGAAAATCTGAAGAAATCGAAGCATACATCGTTTATGAATCGAAGAGAAAATACATGGTGCATAAATAGTGACAAGAGAAGATCGGAAATACATCAAAAGCATATCGGAGAAACGACGAAAAACTATTATGACTGTATCTGAAGAAGATGTCGATCATAAGAGCTTTGCTTATGGTTTATCTATCCGAAAGTGTTCTATTGAGAATCGTTGAAGGAAGCGGAATATTGACTTGATTGGCAAATACATAGGCACCTTCTAGTCTAATAGAGTCCGACGCAAAGGTCATCACAGAAGTTGCATATAATAGTTCTGTAGGGCTGATAGTGACCGGTGAGGTTTGACGCAAAACTCTAATCTATATCTTATTGAAGTAAAACTATAAGCCTTTCCTGCGAAGTTATTTCTATATGACGTGAATATCAGTCGGAAAATCGGTTTTTCAAAACAGAGAATAGTATGAAAAGAAATTTTTTGAAAGTTCATTGGTAACAAAGAGAAATTAAAATAGTAATACATTTCGTTTGATAAAATTCGCTTCATAAACTGATATATGAATCAATGTTTCGATGTTAAAAGTTTTTGAATTTAAAGAATGAAAAATAGCAAAACATACTAAAGATATTACCGTCAAAGGCAACTTTAAAAACCCCTCTAAGATGCTTTCACTTGTCATTAGCAGAATCGAACACAGAGTTTCTTAATGAACGCATTTTTTTGCACCCATATAGAGCACTTTCGAATGAATGAAAACAAAATTAATAATTTATCTGGAAATTTTCGGATCCACCAGTTAATTGAATTTATTATAACCTAGAGAATAGAACACAATCCGCACGTCGTCTTAGCTCACCCATCGCTTCGCTGAAGAGTATTACAGAATGTAGAAAACTATCATCATATGCAGCACATACATCGAGTTCCATCAAAAAAGTTCTTGAAGGCAGATCGTCATCAGTAAAATCGCTAATACCTGATTTCGAACCAAAACCTTCGTCGTCATCATCTCCAGTCATGGATTCTCAAATACGTCATATTGCATCAGCTACTACAACCGAGACTCGTACAATACCAACAAGTAAAACTCTGAAAGACTTTCGTTCATTTCAAAATCTTACTCTGTGTGCTACAAATATGCAACAATCAGAGTCGGAAACATCTCATAATATAACAATCTCTCATGTAAAACCATCATCGGAAAAATCTCGTTTACCATCACATGAACTGGACAATAAAACAAATGATCAGATGTCTCAATTGACACAAGATTTCCATCGTCCAACTGTTGAACTCGGCTTGGAATCATCATTTACACACGATGTAACTTCATCATCAAATGAACCAGCAGAGCAATTATCGAGTACAGGCTTGAATGAAAACTTCAATGTATCAGAAACAACAGATGATCTAAAAATCAACAATGTGGAACATAAGTAAATGTTTGAAAATAAAATTGAAAAACAAGACTTTCGCTTATTTAATATAACTATACATGCATTCATTAATAGTTTTAGTGATTCAATCATCAATGATGATCGAATATCTGCCGTTCAGCATGTTGTCAATAACCTTCATCAATGCCTTGATAAATTGAAGAATGTTTATGCATCTGTAAATATTTTTTTCCTCCTGTTTTTGCTTGTTATATTTCATTTTTGTGTACTCAAAAAGTGAGTACACTCTAGAATCGGTCAGTGTGTCCGTCCGGCCGTCCGTCCGTCCGGCCGTTAACACGATAACTTTTGAAAGGAGAGTCCGATCGCGATGAAATTTTCTACACAGTTTAGTCTTAACAATATCTCAGTCGAGTTCGAAGATGAGAATGATTGGCCGAACCATTGCTGAGTTATTGCAAAAATAGTCATTTTTCCCTATGAGAAGATAGACCCTTCTCTGCTTTCATAAAAAACTTTTCCTATCATAGTGAGCAGTCATCCTATTCCGCAAAGTTACACATTCCTGCATCGCATAAGGCCATCAAACTCATCATCATTCAATTCCGCAATTCCTGCATTCCAATTCCTACCCATGCCATCGAATTTTATGCAAGTCCTGCCAATTCCTGCATAGACTGATGTATTCATGTTCAACTGCACATTGTTATAGAAACAAAGATGCAATTCCATATTAGAATTTCGGAATTGCATGGATATGCAATGACCAAGAATTCCTGCCAATTCCTGCATAGGTTCATGTACTCATGTTCAACTAAACCTTGCTACGGAAATTCACATGCAATACAGGTTTAGAATACCGGAATTGCATGGGTGTGGAATTACCAGGAATTTCTGCATTTTCCAGTGACTACCGATGTGCAGAAATTCCGGAATTCCGCTTTGCATTTATTTAAGCTCGATAAATGTTCACTTAGCCATCCATCAGGTATTTGTAATTCCGGAATAGACAGGAATGACCAGGAATTGCTGCATTTCCTAGTGATTCCGGAATTACACGTACCTCATGGATCGCTAGGTGATCATTTATCGAGCTTGAATAAATGCAAAGCGGAATTCGGGAATTTCTGCATATCCGGAATTAGTAGGAAATGCAGGAATCCCTGGTCATTCCTGCATATTCTGGAATTACAAACATCTCATGGATGCATAAAGGACCATTTATCTAGCTTGAATAAATGCAAAGCGGAATTCCGGAATTTCTGCACATCCGGAATCAGTAGCAAGTGCAGGAATTCCTGGTGATTGCTGCATATTCCGGAATTACAAATATCTCATGGATGGCTAAAGGATCATTTATCGCGCTTGAATAAATGCAGAGCGGAATTCCGGAATTTGTGCACATCCGGAATCACAAGGAAATACAGGAATTCCTGGTCATTCCTGCATGTTCCGGAATTTCACATACCTCATGGATGGCTAAATGATAATTTATCGAGCTTGAATAAATGCAGAGCCGAATTCGCGAATTTCTGCACATCCGGAATCGGTAGGAAATGCAGGAATTCCTGGTCATTCTTGCATATACCGGATGTACTGAAATGCAGGAATTCTGCTTTGCATTTATTCAAGCTCGATAAATGATCACTTAGCCATCCATGATATATTTGTAATTCCGGAATATGCAGGAATGACCAGGAATTCCTGCATTTCCTATTGATTCACGATGTGCAGAAATTCCGGAATTCCCCTTTGCATTTATTGAAGCTCGATAGATGATCACTTAGCCATCCGTGATATATTTGTAATTCCGGAATATGCAGGAATGACCAGGAATTCCTGCATTTCCTACGGATTCCGGATGTGCAGAAATTCCGGAATTCCCCTTTGCATTTATTGTAGCTCGTTAAATGATCCTTTATCCATGCATGAGATATTTGTAATTGCGGAATATGCAGGAATCACCAGGAATTCCTGCATTTCCTACTGATTCTGGATGTGCACAAATTCCGGAATTCCCCTTTGCATTTATTCAAGCTCGAGTAATGATCACTTAGCCATCCGTGATATATTTGTAATTCCGGAATATGCAGGAATCACCAGGAATTCCTGCATTTCCTGCTGATTCCGGGTGTGCAGAAATTTCGGAATTCCGCTTTGCATTTATTGAAGCTCGATAAATGATCACTTAGCCATTCATTAGGTATCTGTAATTTCGGAATATGCAGGTATCACCAGGAATTCCTGCATTTCCTACTGATTCCGGATGTGCAGAAATTTCGGAATTCCCCTTTGCATTTATTGTAGCTCGTTAAATGATCCTTTATCCATCCATGAGATATTTGTAATTGCGGAATATGCAGGAATCACCAGGAATTCCTGCATTTCCTACTGATTCTGGATGTGCAGAAATTCTGGAATTCCCCTTTGCATTTATTGAAGTTCGATAGATGATCACTTAGCCATCCATGAGATATTTGTAATTCCGGAATATGCAGCAATCACCAGGAATTCCTGCATTTCCTGCTGATTTCGGATGTGCAGAAATTCCGGAATTCCGCTTTGCATTTATTGAAGCTCGATAAATGATCACTTAGCCATCCATTAGGTATCTGTAATTCCGGAATATGCAGGAATGACCAGAAATTCCTGCATTTCCTACTGATTCCGGATGTGCACAAATTCCGGAATTCCGCTTGTATATGGAATCGACGTTTTAAGATGATTATTTCGTTATTCATTAGGTCCTTCGAATTGTGTAAATACCCGGAATGACCCGGAATTGAATGTTCAGAGTTGGATCGGAAAGGAACTAATAATCAGGAATTCCTGGTTGTGGCATGTGTTTGAGCGAAAGGGTCGTGTTAGCATTTCCGGAATTGATGGTAAGTGATTCCGGGTCAGAAGGCGATGCAGGAATGTGTAACTTTTGGGAATAGGAAGTATTCTC